CCGTCAGTCCCATGGTTCACCTGTTTGTTCTGATTTCCTCCACCATCTCTGCTTTACCCGGACTGTATAAGTACATGGACTTTGTTGTGTTCTGTTGTTACTTTGTGTTTTACCAGTGAACTGTCATTTTTTTCCCCCCTAGCACCTGGGTCTGTAAACTTGAGTCCAACCTCAGTTCTCCCTCACCCTCCTGGTGAGGGGGGCTACCATAACAGGCTGTTCCCCTGAGTGGTCTCAGTTCTTTCTTTGGCTCCGAGGCCAGCACTTGTGAACCCAAGGACTTTTTCTTCAGTTTTGACCTTGGACTATACTTGACTGTAGTATTGTCTATCTGTAAGTGGCATGATTTCAAACATTGACTTTATGTCACTAGCATCTGAGATGCTGTGTTTTGGGACTTCCCTTGGATTTGGCAAGATGTATGTGGGTTCGGGAGCTCTTGCGTTTACCCAAGATCCTCTTATGTCTACCATGGTTGGGGCATGTACACGTGGTGTTGTGTACTTAAAAGTACATGCACAATGACAAAACACAAGTTCAGCCACTTCAGAGAATAGCACCTGTTTGTAATGACAGATTGGAACAAACCTGAAAGTTGTGGAATTCTCCATCATTCATTTGTAGGACCCCATATGAGCTGTTCCTGTTTACCTCTAGTAAAACAAAGACAGTGGTGAGTAGAACTCCGAAACAGCCATTGCCTTTTCAGCATGGCTCTACATGTTACTATCTACCTCTTGAACTGTGGGGTGGTCTGGAATAGAATACATCATCGTAATCATTTTGATTTTAGGGTGTTTAGTCAGGATGTCAGCCACAGCAAAAGCAATGATAGTTCCTGTTTTGAGGCACACAGCTGTCACTCCATGTCTCTATCTCAGTGGTAGCTGGATGATCTTGTACAACCTGATACAGTATTTTCATAAATGCACTTGCAATATCATTTTTCGTCTCCATGACATCACCACTTTTTGATAAATTATTCACTTCAATCCATCCAAACATCATAAACTTGTCAAAAATATCATTAATGTGAAATGAAGTAACATGCAACACATCAACCTGTTATACCTGTCAGTTTCTGACAAAACTGAAGTCATTGTGCTTGGGCCTGAAAATGTTAGAAATCTGCTATCTAATCATATACAGTGCCTTGCGAAAGTATTCGGCCCCCTTGAACTTTGCGACCTTTTGCCACATTTCAGGCTTCAAACATAAAGATATAAAACTGTAATTTTTTGTGAAGAATCAACAACAAGTGGGACACAATCATGAAGTGGAACGAAATTTATTGGATATTTCAAACTTTAACAAATAAAAAACTGAAAAATTGGGCATGCAAAATTATTCAGCCCCTTTACTTTCAGTGCAGCAAACTCTCTCCAGAAGTTCAGTGAGGATCTCTGAATGATCCAATGTTGACCTAAATGACAAAGGATGATAAATAGAATCCACCTGTGTGGAATCAAGTCTCCATATAAATGCACCTGCACTGTGATAGTCTCAGAGGTCCGTTTAAAGCGCAGAGAGCATCATGAAGAACAAAGAACACACCAGGCAGGTCCGAGATACTGTTGTGCAGAAGTTTAAAGCCGGATTTGGATACAAAAAGATTTCCCAAGCTTTAAACATCCCAAGGAGCACTGTGCAAGCGATAATATTGAAATGAAAGGAGTATCAGACCACTGCAAATCTACCAAGACCTGGCCGTCCCTCTAAACTTTCAGCTCATACAAGGAGAAGACTGATCAGAGATGCAGCCAAGAGGCCCATGATCACTCGGGATGAACTGCAGAGATCTACAGCTGAGGTGGGAGACTCTGTCCATAGGACAACAATCAGTCGTATACTGCACAAATCCGGCCTTTATGGAAGAGTGGCAAGAAGAAAGCCATTTCTTAAAGATATCCATAAAAAGTGTCGTTTAAAGTTTGCCACAAGCCACCTGGGAGACACACCAAACATGTGGAAGAAGGTGCTCTGGTCAGATGAAACCAAAATCGAACTTTT